GCTCGGGGCGTGTTGCCGCTCTTGCCACCCTCTTCTTCTACCCCCTGCTGTACTTAGATGACCCCCCCTCCCCTTTTATACGCAAGGTGACACAGACGACCCGAATAGGGGCGCGGATTTGCATGCGACTTTGGCCGGCTATCGCTGAGCCAATCACGCTCAGGCGGCGGGAGCGGCGCAAGCCCGCATGGTAGGGTGCGGCGCGCTCGGCCCGCGCCTGCGGGTACCGGTAGGGCATCGGAGGGGCCCCGGCACAACCCCTCAACTCGCGTGCGGCCCCCGATCAGTTAGGGGGGCTTTCACTGCTCGCCCGCTTGACATCCGTATCTGCAGCGGAGTCCTGTCTCCGCAGCCGCGCCGCGCCGGGCCGGGCCGTCTCTCTCCTCCGCGAGGGAACTTCGACGCACGGGAGGTCTGTAGTGGAGAGAGGAGGTCTGGGCAGCGCTGAGCGGCGCTTAGCGGCAGGGCGCTTCCGAAATTTCAAAGACCGTGCGAAAACACGTTAAATCCGTATACTTGACCATCACATTTTGCTAGCTGTGAGTGATGTCTTCCCCTGGACTCATTTTCATTTAAAATTTCTTAAGATTTGGAATTGTGTTCCTACTCCACAACTCTGCGGCGGCGCCCTCCGCCCTTTTATCCTCCGCCGATGACCTCTGCATCGCGAGGAGTTGGCCGAGCCGAGCCGAGCTGAACCGAGCCGAGCCGGGCCGAGTGGAGCCGAGTGGAGCCGAGCCGAGCCGAGCCGAGCCGAGCCGAGCCGAGCCGAGCCGAGCCGAGCCGGGCGCAGCGGATATGCCTCGGCACGGCCGCGCCGCCGGAGGGGAAAGGCTCACATCGGGGCAGGTGACTGGAAGGGACACAAACGTGCAAGAGCGCAAAAAAATAAAAATGGACGACTTTTACTTTATCCGCGGCGAAGTGGCTTCTCCTGCCCCGTTGCCCTTGAACTTGAAATGAAAACTTGCACTGGCGTATGGGCAGGGAAGCCAGATGTGTGAGTGTGTGTGTGTGCGTGTGTGTGTTCGTGTGCAGCTGTGAAGCGAAGAGTCATCCACAATCCACATATACCTACTTCCTTTGGCCCTTGCCTTTTTCTTCCTGTTCTTCCCTATCCTTCGAGCCCCATCGCCTTCAAGCTCACAGCAACATGTGTGATTTATCTCCATCGGTTCTTCCTTTTCGTTGTTGGTTTCCCTTTGTTTACGCCCCCTCCCCACTCCCCCCCCTCCTCTTCCTAGGAACCTCACTGCCGCGAGAGCCTCGGCGCGGACTCATTCATTTTTACACAAGTGACTTCACGAGTTTCCCGCGTAGACGCTCGTAGTTCCCCCCACCACCGTGCCTCATTCACAACTCGCAGACACAAACACACACACACACACACACACACACACACACACACACACACACACACAACGAATGGGGCGGGGTGGGGCACGGCCGCTCTGCAAACGTGTTTTGTTTTTCCCGCTCTCACGACGGCAGACGACAAAGCCAAACCCTATCGCCCCCCTTCCTCCCCGCCCCCCTGGCCAGCCCCACGGCGTATATATGCAAATCAACGCATATGAAGACGCCTGGCGTTTTCCGCATCTCGAGGCGAGACGAGGAAAACGGCCGCCGTGAAACACGATATCAAAAAGACCGTTTCACTCAGTAATGGTTTTTGTCTGCCCCCCCCCCCCTCCCCTCTCACTGGCTCGCCCCCGGCTCACCCCTCGGCGCAACGAGCGTTCACAGTCAGTGTGAGGAGGAGCTGGGCGGGTAGGAGAGGGGGGAGGGGGGGTGCAGTATTCTTACACGAGGGGCACTTGGCCAGGAGTACTTACAAGGAAATCATGCCAAGTGTGATTTTTCATTCTACTTTGGGAAATTGTAGGTCTAAAAGTGTCATCGAAGGACAGTGAAAGACCTTACATTTCTCTACAACTTTTGTTTTATATCATTTTTGTGGTGATTCCTTACATTTCTAAACGTGTCGGTAGCGCCTAAACGGCTCATCATGCCCTCTAGCATGCGAGTCGCAAAACACCAGTTATCCCATGGTTTTAGGTTAAAAGTATCGCAAAACCAGCCTCAGTGGGCGCGATTTCTGTTGCTTACCTCAACTAAGAGAAGGTGGAGTCCACGGATACACACGACGTTCTCATGGAGAGTAAACTCTGGATGCCTACAAAGCCGCCGCGCCGCCTCGCCGAGCCCATGCAGCCCGAGCGCGCCGAAGCACCGTATTAGCTATCGACAATGTGTGTGTTTGGGGTACAGACGGCGGAACAGGGAAAAGGAAAGGTGGGAGGGGTCCGGTTGCAGCGGGTGCAGCGTCAACAAGAGGACTAGTGTCCCCCTTTGGAAAGAGGCCAAGCTGGTCTGGTGTTCTCAGTTCTAGTGTGGTCAACAGAGTTCCACACCTAAAAATATACCTAGAATGGTCAACTAGAGGCGCGACTCATAAGAAGCATTCAGAGCTATCCGGAGCTGGAACAAAGCAGAAGTGGGTCAGCTACACCAGTAGCAAAAAACGTCTCACACGTGATATGTGTGCACGGTGCACGGGTTACGGGTTGATAAGAGGAATGGGTTGTGGTGCTGGTCGATGATTTAGTCATCCGTGTGCAGTCACTCCTGTGCAAGTCCCCTGCCCTGCCGCCGGACGGTCGAGCCACCTACCCGTACGTGTGTGTGTGTGAGGAGGGGGGGGGGGCGGCCCCACCATGTGCCAGGCCGCAGCCGGCCCGAGCCGAGCCTCAGTGCGCCGTCCGCTCTCCGGGGTCCCAGCCGCGCCGGCGCCTGCCCACCGCCCGGCCCGCCGCGACCAGACCATCCTCACAGAACCACGAGGAAGTGCGCGAGCTGCGAGAGCGGCTACAAGTGACCGCTCTCCTGAGCCGTAGTGACTGTTCTCGCGAGTGTGAACCCCCGCGAGTGTGATACCCGCGAGTGACCCGTGCGAGTGACCCGCGAGTGCCTGGGGCGGCATGTCCTGCCAGAGCCGCGGGCGCGGCGGGGGCGGCTCCGCTGCCGACCCCGCGGCCGGCTCCTCGGCCAGTGAGTGATGTGTCGCGTGATGCGGCTGCAACGCGTGTCCGTGACGCGCGAGGTGACTTGACCCAGAGTGTGTGCCGACGGTGTGAGTGAGCGAGTGACGAGCAGGACAACACCCCCCGGGCGCCCCGCGTCTTCTCCTCCACGACCGTCCTCAGGTAGGTGTGCCCACCCGCACTATCCGAGGAGAGCAGAGAGGACTTAGCGCGCCGCAGTTAATCGTCTCCCGTTTCTGGGCCGAGGCGATAGGGTTTCATGTTTGAGGAGCAGCGGCGGCGGCGGCGGTAGCCGGCAGCGGCAGCGTAGCAGTGTGTACTCGCTTGCTTTTCGGTGTGCGTACGTGACTCGTGGACACGCCGTAATGTCCCCTCCGATCTCGCTGCAGCTGGCGGGTGCAGCCGAGGTATCCTTCACTCAAAAAAGTCACTGTTAGAAAAAATCACCAAAAAATCACCAAAAAATAATGAAAAAATCACTTTGAAAAATCATAAAAAATTAACGAAGAGTCAGAAAAAAATCACAAAAATCGCAAAAAAATACAAAAAATCAAGAAAAAATCACAAAAAATCAAGAAAAACAGAAAAATCGGTGCACGCTACAATTTATAGTGAAGGACCCCTCGGGTGCAGCGGCCGGCTCCTGGCCCTCATCTTCTTTCTCCGCGCTAATTGACGGAGCTGCACCCGTCCAGTACCGTCTCCCTCCCTCCGTCCCACGCAGTCCCACGGGACACCCTCGGGACACTCCCCGCCCCGCTGATCCCCGCCGCCGCCCCTGCGCTGCTCTGGATTGGTTGCGTCCAGCCGGGCGGCGCGCGCGCGCTTCGGGGAAGACAATTAACGGCGCGGAATGGGAAGAGAACGAAAGCGAAATGCAGACAATGTGGTCGCCATTGACGGGCCGGCCAGCGCCCGGTGCACCGCCCCGCCGCCGCGCCGCGCCCCGCCCTACCCCGCCCCTCTGCGCCCAACTCTTTATTCTACTTACGACAACGCCTTCCTCCCCACGACGTACACCTATTTGATGAAAGATAGCCTCCATCACCCACACATCCAGGAATAATAAAATCGGTTCCTGCTTGTGAGGAGCCGGTGCGCGCCACGCGCGCGTGTAGTCATAGCACCCTGCTTCCCTGACGAGGGCCCGGCGGCGTGTTGCGTAACTGAAACTGGTGCAGCGCTGATTTGCGTTCGAATTACCCGGAATCAGCAGCCGGTGGCGGCGGCGCGGCCGCGGGTGCGACGCACTCACTCACCCCGGCGCCGTGCGAGTGCTCGCCAAGCGAGTGGGGGCGGGCGGCGGGCCTGCGGCGGCGGGCCGGGGCTTCTCTCCCACTGCAGGACTTCCCGAACTTGCTCCCGCGTTCAAAAGGAGGTCTCCGTGCTGCCCCTTCCTGCATATACTCCGCACCTACCGACAACCCGTCTGATTGACGCAAAAAGAACAACGAGATGAGGGAGGGGGAGGGGGGGGGGATACGGTCAGTTAGTTTTGATTTCCCTAAAAGGTCAATCTTTGAGCTGGAATGCCCATGTCCTAGCTCGGCCTGTCGTATAACGGTAAGTAATGAACCCTGAAAATTTTAGGTAGCTAGACACCGAGTACCGAGTGTCATAAAATCGGCAATTTTTATCAAAACGACAGCAATCTTCATTTAAACTTATCAAATCTTATCAATCCTATGAAAAGGGTAAAGTTTTTACCTTTGGGTATAGAAAGCCATTGCGGACTGTCTGAAAATACCTTATTTTTTCGCTGATCCGCCCACCCCACGGACCAGAAGGAACCGTCAGCGATTCCGCGGTCAGTCCGAATTCATCTCTCGTTTACGCGCAGTAGAACCGACACTTATACTGACGAATGTGACACACATATCGCACACACACAGGGTGGGCATATTCTTCATGCGGAAATCCGCCACACCGATCCCGTGCTTTTAATCGAGCAGCGCGCGTCTGGTAGAATGTAGTACGAGAGGGAGGCCGGGGCCAGGTCGGGGTGGCTGAGCTGAGCCGGCAGCGGCGGCCGGCAGAGAGCACACGAATCAACTCATAACCATCATCGCACGCATACATTAGCATACAATGGGGCATGCGCGGCTTGCGCGGCTGTGTGCACGCCCAGTGTGTGTGCAGCTCGCCCGCACGGACGCTCCTCGCGGCGGCTAATGCCCCCCC